AATTTTATTTTCAAGCTTGTAAGAGAATATTACAAACAATGGAGAGTAAAAAAAGCCCAAACCCTAAAAACTATTTAAAAAGTACTTGACAGTGTCCCTTTAATATCCACAAATGATTCAGCCATTGTGCATTGAAAGAGAATGTTCCTGAAGAGCAACCGGTACTTTCGAGGATATATCCCAGAGAAGGAGACCTATTAGAAGTGTTACATATTTGATCAGCAACTGTGCTCCCTCTTCAGACTAACTCTCTCTTGAATGATTGAATGGAATAGACTCTGTAATAAACTAACAGACTGGTTGTGAAAGGCTCAGCCTACAAGACTGAGTGAGACTGTTGCAAATCGAGCAGCAGGGATACAGACACCAAAAAAAAAGGTACATCTGTAATGCATGAGTGTCTGAATCAGCAAGGTAGCAGAAACCCCTCAAGATGGGTCAGCTTCTTGTGATTGGAGTAGAATGGAAGGAAATCAACCTGGAATGTCTGCATGGAAAACGATGCGTGCGAGTGGCAAGATTTGGATGCTGGATTTGGGGTTATGAAGGCATAAATTACACCAGTACTTGTGCTTGAAACACCCGCGGAGCATTTGTACAAAATTTGCCAAAAATGCCTATATGTTGAGTAAAGGTCATGGAACACCCTCCCCCCCTCCCAATTCCACCCTCACAAACCCTTTGTCAGGAACATTATGAAAAAATTAGGATATTTCTTTTGGTGAAATTTGGGTTTTGTTAGATTTTCTTGGTGGGATGATTCAATCTCTCTTTCTGTAAATCAATACTTGAAAAATCCCCAGCCATTTCACTTCAGGTATCCTATGGTAAATCAAACAAAGCTCCAAAGTGACTCATGAAACAAAATGACACATAGCCCTGGTTAATCACAGTCTGGAAAATAAAAATACTCCAAATATTTCATTCCCTTCCTTGTTTTTATAAATCTCACACTGTGTGCGTGTGTGTTTGTGTGCGCGTGCATGTGTGTACAGGGGGTGTGTACAGAGTGTTACCTATTCCAGGTAATAGGATTTGTAAGACATGCTAAACCGTCTGTTCCTCTGCTTCCCCAGAACTCTGCCTACTCAGTTTGTAGTCTGTATTGCACTTGTTTTGTTGGGTTTTTTTGTGATTTGTGTTGTTGGGATTTTTTTTTTCTTTTTTAAACTGGTTGGAAAACATTAACCTCTTTAGCATGAGTGTGCAGCTCTCCCTCCACCTGCTTTTTTCCTCAGCTGGCTAGGTGCCGCCTCTTATATCTTGTGCAGTTACCGAAAAAGAAAAGAAGAGGAGGAAAGAAAAAAAGAAAAGGAAAGAGAAAGAAAAAGGCACACCATGCTCCTCTGCTTTATGAGTTCTTTGTCTCCTCCACTTCGTGTTAAGGCCTCCTCAATTCCTCGGCTCAGACCGTCGTGACCCTCATGACGAGCTCTCTGTTACTACTAGACTGACTCCTCTGTTCGTGAGGCCTCAGGTGGCTGAGTATATGCAGGATGGTATAAGCACAGTGGTGGTCAGAGAGGGTGCCTGTGGCATGGCCGGCAGCCCGTGCCCCGCTGTCGGCTGGAGCGGAGTTAGTGGCTGTACCACCAGTGGAGGACGAGTGGGTGGTTTGGGAGGAGGGGCGCTGATTTGTCCTGGTCCCTGTTTTTTGTTCCTCCATGTCCTTTGTTTTGTCATAGTTCAGCACTTTCCACTGCTGATTGACCGCCTGCCACCGTTTAAAAATCCGGTAAACCGAGGGCCCTTCGTGTATTATTAGACCTGGAGGGAAGGGGGAAAGAAATAAACATAAAACAGAAACAAAACTTTAGAAAGAACCATAAACCTACCCCAGCATCCTGCTCCCAGCTAGCTGGTTAGCTGAGCCGGTGTTTATTCAACGATAAATCATGTATTTTAATCACCAACTGGCAGAGCACCGGTGCTCCTGCTCTGCTGGATCCCTTTTCCCCTGAATTAAAAGGATTACAGCTTTATCTTAGCAATCAATAAATGGATTGTAAATGCAGCAAAGTGAGTTATGCTCTTACAGCAAAACAGTATCTGTTTACCAATAAATGCCTGAGGTTTTTCTATCACTGGACTAGTTTTGCATGCTGCATAGGCATGATTCACTGAGCTAACGGCGTGTTTGGAGGGGGTGTAGCTGGATCTGACGTGCTGGTGACGTCTGCTGCACCAGCATCATGTGCGTGCACAGCCCAAGTCTCTCCCCACACAAACAGCAGCAGAGCAGACACGCACACGGAGGCCAGAGGTGGCAATCGAGCAAAAAAAGGGTCTGTCTATACCTGTAAATGATTTGTCATCCTAGGCAAAGTTTTGCTCATCTGCAGAGCAGGTACCTCATTGTACGTCATTGCTCCCTTCCAAGGGGGAAAACAACACGCTTGAAAGAAAGGGCAGATGAGCTTACACTGTGTGTGCGCTGAGTATGCACGTAATGCATATGTCCTGCTACCCATCTGTGTGTACCAGAGCTGATGTCTGGTGGATGGCACTGGGCAGTAAGACACCTGACTTGTAATGGTCTCCACATTTGAAAGAGAGTGAGCAGCTCAGGCCCTTCCACCCAGCAGTTAACTCACCTCCCAGCGCACTCTGTCATCCTCCCCACCCTTGCAAGAGGATTGAAGATTAAATAATGTTAGAAGTTGTTTAGATAATGACAGCGTTTGAGTACTAAGCTCTGTTATGGTTCAAGCTGCCAGGCTTTGGCTGGACCCTTTGAAAGCACTAGGACCAGCAGTGACTGCAACACTGTGCTGTTCTTCCCCACTGAGGCTGGAGGAAGCTGCAACATCTCATGTAGACTGACAGCTGACACACTATAATATAATTAACAAGTTTTGCTAGAGACTGGGATTTATGCAGAACGAGGGGGGTCTGAGTCTCCTTGTTTTGCAGCAATATGTCTGTTAGGAAAGTACCTTTGTGTCCCATGTAACTGAAGCCAGAAGAGCAGGCAGGACTGGGTGAGTTAGCACATAGATAGCTTCATTGCTCTTAATAACAATGGCTTCACCATTCTTGGTCAGAATCAAGATTACCAGAAACATTTCTAGGAAGAGCAGCTCTCTTGTCTGCCTGTTGCAAGCGTGTAAATAGAAGAGCAAAGAACAAAAGACCCACAAGAAATAAAAAGCAAAATCATGCCTAAACAAGGGAGGTTGCCTCAACCAGCAATGTGTGAAGAGACGACGGTCACCACAGAATCAAGTGGTTTACAGCTATCTCTGATGAATCAAATACTGCAGCTTTACCCTCCACCCACCTTTTCCAGACCATTCTAGTTTCTGATGGCAGATAATTACTGGAGAAAACCTGTGCTATATCAAACCCAAAATATCTGAAGGTCATACTACCCTTAGGACTGACCTCCCTGTAACTCACCAGTGGGATGCAACTACCTGATTTCTTAGGGTCTGCATCTGATTTTACAGAGTTTAAACCTTAGCTTTAGTACAGGTTGAGTTTCTAGCCTCTCCGGTTTGAAGCATAACTAGAAGCCCTGCTGACTTGATCACAGATTAGCTTCAGGGGGACTCACACATTCACTGTAATGGAATGCTGAGCCTGCTTACTGGCTGTAGAAGCAGAAGAAACATTGGATAGTTTAAGTATGCAGATCAGGCTATTCTGGGACAGGGAATGGCATTGGGCACTACAGTACGAGAGAGATCTTCCCTCTGGTTCCCATAGACCACTGAGATTGCACAGCTGTAATCCTGTAGTGATGCTGACTTTTCATAACTAAACACCATGATGTCATAATAGAAAAATGTGGTTTTTCCTCCCTACTTTGAAACAGAGTTGAGAATTCTGACACCTGATCAAAGCATCAACCATAAAAAGCAGGATTTAGGGAAAGCCTGCAGATCCATCCAAGGAGACAGAGCTTTGAAGCAGGCCTGAAGTGGATCAGCCCATGACAAGGGACATTAGACATATATTTAAATGAGGGTTCTGATCTGTAATGAATGAAATTCCACTCTGATCAATGATAGAGCCAATGTTTCCCCGAGACCACTTTAAGCCTGGAATAAAAGAGCCGAAATTGAATGTTTTCTCCTTGGCTGTAGAACCTTCTCCATAGAATCAAATCCATTCTCCGAAGTATTAAACACTGAGCCAGGATTGTAAATCTGTTCTTAATTACCTTATCACAAATATTTAATGCGCAGCCTGATTCAAGAGGGCTGTTTATAAAATTCTTGTTTGTTTGCCTTCTAATTATAAATGTTTATGATCTTATGCAATTAACTGTGTGATGCTGATGGATGGGTTGCTGAGTCAACTGAGCACCTGTTTTCTCAGATAATTTTGGTTTCCAAATATTTATAAAAGTACAAAATAACTTGTTTTCCTCTGTATTTACCAGGCTCTAAATTACTTATCGATTTCCCAGTGTCAAGCTCAGGAAGCTGTAAAATTAAAAAGGAACCAAGTGGAGGGGTGGGCAGGGAGGCGGAAGTAACAGTGATTCATTTGCAAGAGTAAATGCCAAGAGTAAGCAAGAGTCCATCAGTTTATATCAAGCTGCAGGACACTTAATGCTCCCATCGAAACAAATTTTGTCTGCCTGAGATAAATTAGGATTGGAATTCCTATGTTCAGCTCTGTGCGTCCCCTTTGAGAAACACCCCTCCCTCGAGGATCATTCTTATTTACAGAGGTGAAACTTTCCAATTAAAGGCCAGACTTAAGTGGGAAATACTTCAGGAAGAACTGTGTTTAACTAGAAGTGTCCAGCTGGAAGCAATTATTCCGTAAACCAAATCCTGTGTATGTGGGGAAGACAGTAGGTTGGTGTGAGCTTCTCTCTTTGTGCGCTTATCTCTTTTCAATGCAGAAATGTCTATGTGAGAATTTCAGATGGATTCTGATCATGGCCTGGTCCTTTTCCACTCCACCCAAATTTATCTCACCCTCTTCTGCTTTACAAAATCTGTTCTTAATGGATCCTCTGAGAAAACTGTACTCTTTGGAAGGAAAATCTCTGTGAGTTTCATGCAAAACATGTTGGTCCAGATTGTTGCCTGTTCCATGAAATCCCTTGTTTGTGATGTTGGTGAAACAAAATTCCTATGGAACGCGGGCACTGAAGATGTGCCATTCTCATTCCCATTTTGTCATGTAGAGGCCTGGCTGGACCAGCATCAGAAGGAATTCCTTGAGCTGAAAATTATTGAATGCTGGGGGAAGTATTCAGGGAAACTATCATATACACTTGTCTTGGTCTTATTTCACTCTTACTGTGTCTGTTTATTATGGTCATTGATGGAAACAGGGCAGCTGGATAGATAGATGGATAGATAGATAGAACCTTGGCCATTCTTATATTCGTCTGTTTATTATGGCCATTGATGGAAACAGGGCAGCTGGATAGCTAGATAGATAGAACCTTGGCCATTCTTATATTCTTAGACATTTCTACTTGCACTGGCTTGTGCCATGAAAAAGATTTCCCAGATGGCTCTGGAGCTGGAGACAGCCCATATTATGTGATGGGGTCATTAACCAGACAGCAAAGTCTACAAAAAAAATTTCTAATGCCTCTGCTTGCATTGCCACATTGATGTGGCTGTGCTGTTCCCAGGACAAGACATAGTAGCTCTGAGCTAACATGGTAGGTGTAACCCAGTGCAGTGCTCCAAATTAACACATGCCGAATATAGAACAGTATGTACAGGAAACCATATTGATCTCTTTTCACTGTGTTCGCTCTCTCCACAGATTAGCCTTTTTTGCTCTTTCTCTTGTTGCCTTATTATTTATCATTGAGTCCATGCAGAGGGTGAGATCATGGTCAGCCATGTGGAGCTCTGTAGAGTCCAGGCAGGAGGGACTAGTGATTATCCTGGGTGCAGGGATTACTTCCCAGAGCTGAGAAGATGCTCTGTGCTTCACAGCACAGGAAACACAACAATACCTTGGCAATAGGTTATACCAAAACTGCACATTGCTTATGCTTACGCATGTCTTATGCTTCCTTTCATTTATTACACATGGGAGAGCACCCAGCAGCTAACCACTGCTCTTATGCAAAACTATCACAGTAAGTGACTGAGCCCCAAAGAGCGCAGAGCCTGGTTCCACATTGGATTTAAAGGAACAGGTAAGCAACATCAATACAGGTTGGCTAGGCAAGAGTTGTGTCAGTGCAGTTGCATATCCAATCAGTGCATGTCCACAGCATCTGGGAGAGCAAGCTGACAACTGCTGACTCTGGGGAAAGACTTACCTCTTCCATTTACCCCCCCACCCTCACTCTCATTTTCAACCCAGAGCAAGAATAACTCAACTGTTTCTTTTCCAGAAGATCGAGATGCAGTCTGCAACAGAGCCAGCACTGGTGAAACCAGTTTAATTTCCATGTTCTTCGGATTGCCACAGTTAACCTTGAGCTTCTGGACTCTTAAAATGCAGGAGTTAGTTAGAAATGGGAGCATGACCAAAGGTGAGCATCATGGCCCAGAGGTAAGGTTCATGTCACTGTAGGATTTCTCTGAGCCTTGCAATACCTGCCCACACTATATCATGATCCACATGGGCAATCTCTGTGCAAGGAAATGTTCTCAGTGCTGAGGGTGGACACAGATGGGCTGTGTGCAGGTGGCCCTTTGTCTCTTGGCATTAGTCGGGACAGAGGTACATTGCCATCAGTGGGTCTGTGGCGAGACTGGTTGAGAGAGAGGTTCTCAGCCCAATGGCTAGAAGGGCTGTTGGAAGAACATGGGCAAAACCCAGATGTAACAAGG